TGTGTGTGTGAGTGTGTGTGTGTGTGTGTACGTGTGTAAAACAAATAAACAAGTTGCAATGCACATAATAGATGCGACAGGGGAAGCTACACAATTGAGCATAAGGTGGATTTTTTTTTAAAAGGTCAAGAGAAATGCACAAGCTTTGATTTACTATTAACTGAAATCAAACAAAAGAGAATATCTTTTTGGCATAAACACAACTGTGCCAGAACAGTAAACTTGTGTGTGAAGGAAAGGCCTGGATCATCTCCAAGTGGCGCAGATCCACTACACTAGCTACTCCATGTGCATAAATTGGCTAGGTAACCACTTAGTGATGAAGTCCGTGTTGAACTGCAGATATTAGCTGGAGCAGTAGCGTTGAATAACTCATTTACGGGCGACGGATTCAGGAATCTGAGAGCCTCACCCACGAGTTGTGTCGTGCCATGTACAGCTGTCTGGTCCGTCACCGCACCCATCGGTAGCGGCTGGAGCTGCTGAACTGCCTGTCCCAGCTGGATAGCAGCCGGCGCCCCTGCCGATGTAGCCATCGTCTGTGCCAACATCTGCTGCCCTTGCCCACCTTGTATCACCTGCAGCATAGTACCCAATAAGATTGTCCTACACTTACCTTGTGCATTGCTCCATGTGTCATCCCATACAGGATGCCTCCATGCTACCACCTCTAACTATAGGTGAGAAGCTATTCCATACGTGAGAGGAGCGATGAGGAGAGAAATACTGTAATTAGCTGTATATTTCGCGTACATATATTTTCGCGAATTCAGATTTGATGGATAATTTCGCGAGTGGTTAATTTTGCGGTCGGTGAATTCCCGAATCAGTGAAGAATGGCGTGTTGTTATTTTTGCGGTCGGGAACGCGTTCGCAAAATTCGCGAAAATTAAACCCCTGCGAAATATACAGCTTATACAGTATATAGGGGTACATACCTTACGATGGCGATAAAACATCTTGAAAGAAGTTTCAGTGCACCAGTTCTTTCCCCCCAATTATTACAATTTAATTATTAATTATTTAAAGTTTTAATTAATATATAGTCTGGTCTATTGCTAGGTCATACACCACTGCATTATTGACTGAAACACGTATCTGCTACACCAGCGAGTCTACACAATTTCACACATGGCTTGAAACTGTAGGGTGGGCATCAATCATCAGTTGGCATGGTAACATGACCCCCTTCATATCAATCATATCAATGCTGCATGTTGCTGCGCACATTATGGTGACTCGCCACCCAAACATGTTATCGTGAAACCCCATCAATGCTGTACGCTAGTTACATACATAATAGCAAGGGTAATAATAGTCACTCGCCCCCCAGACATGTTAATTTAAAATATGAAACCCCATCAATGCTGTACGCTAGCTACATACATAACAGCACCCCGACACACACACAAACACACCGGGGCGACAAACGCACCTGAACGTGTTGGAGATTCTGGAACTGCTGCAGTTGCTGGAGATTCTGGACCTGTATGATGTTTGGCCGTATGCCCTGGACATTGTTGCCAAAGTTGAGCAGGCCTGACTGGAGGAAGGATGCTGGGAACATCTGCGGCTGTGCGCTGCCGGGGCTCTGAATCTGTATGACCTGTGGTGGTGGCTGCTGCTGCTGCTGCTGCTGCTGCTGCTGCTGCTGCCCAGCGAAAGCAAGTGTTGGCGCAGGTGCGATGTTTGCGAACGATGCTGGGATCGTGTACGTCTGCTGCTGGTTGGACACCGTCGTCGTCGTTGTCGTTGCCGTCGACGACGACGCGCTCGTGTCCTTGCCCGACAGCGGGCTGCCAACGACCGGCATCTGCGGCCACAAATACTGCAGTGGTGCCACCTGCTGGGAGGTGGCCGACGCTACCGCTGCCGTCGTCGACGCCGCCACTTTCGTCTGCGCAACACCTGACGTTGCCATGGTCACGGTCGGCGATGCTGTCTTCACGAGGCCGGGAGAGGGCGCAGCAGTAGACGGCACGGTGTACGTCGGCATCACCTGCGTCATGCACTGTGGCGCCATCGGCAGCATGCTCTGCAGCGTCGACAGCGGCAGCTGTATCGTCTGCATCATCGTCTGCCCGTTGCCGGCGGAGACGGGAATCTGCACGGACACGGTCTGCTGCATCGGCGCGGCAAACTGCGACATGCCGGGCACCTGGATAGTCTGTACGATGCTGGCGGGCCGCATCGTGATGCTCGGCGATGCTGTAAGATTCGGCAGCGCCCCCATCGTCAGGTTGCCGAGCTGCGGCAGGCTCTGCACTGCCCCCTGCTGGATCGCTTGCAGCCCCTGCGACGTGCGGATCATCGTGCCGCCCTGCTGCAGTGGTGCGCACAGCGCCCCCTGGTTACCGGGGAGCTGCACGGTCTGGCCGGCGAGCGACGCTGGAATGAAGATCGCCTCCTGCCCGTCGATCGTCACCTGTTGCACCTGCGGCATCACGTTGTATGCAACGTTGCCGCCGGCCTGTGACTGCATGAGCTGAGGCGTCTGCTGTAGGAACGGCAATGCCTGCTGACCCATCGACGAGTTGATTTTGATCGGCGTGCCAATCGTCTGTATGCCCTGCCGACATGCACATGATATCTGTTCACCTATGGATTACGCTCGTATACACAGCCTACGTAACTACACAGTGTGAGAGTTACACAAGCAATCATAAACAAACTGTTTAAGACACTCGCATGTGTACATTATTAAAATGATATTTATATGACTAATATTGATATTAGTTATTTTAAGGATACACTCAAGCTTGTATCAGAGATGTAAGTGGTATATCTCCAAAAAATATGTAAATAATAAGACACTCCAACAACAGTAGACGTAGGCCACTGAATCATGAATGGGGGGGGGGAGAATCCCCCCATACCGGAGCAGGACATCTCGACAGTGTCCTGAGATGCAATTTCAGGCCATCTCACCGAATCGGAATCTTTATTGAAAATATCAGAAAATCAGAATTCCGTCAAAAATCAGAAAACTTACATCTCTGTTTTATGCAAGACTTTATCGATTTTTTATTTTTATTCTTATTCGATGGCTGACACTAGGTGTCACCTCTGTACATGCTTATTTCGCCGTGGCATATAACAATGCATGTGAACTTTCAGAGCGTTTCGATTGCGCCTGTACATGTGTATATCAGTGGCGGATCTACGGAGGGGGGGGGGAGTTTAAACCCCCCCTTGGGGCTGCCCCGGACCTCCCTAGCAAGGCGTGCCTTCGGCACGCTGGGGTGTGTAAGCCAATCACCTCAGGTAAACCCCCCCCCCCTTAGTTAAAACCTAGATACGACCCTGTATATACACTGATCTCTATATATACTAACTGGATAGCGCTTAGCCTATCCACAGTCTGTAAAAAAGTGACGTCACCGCTGCCATCTTGCCACCACTCTCAAAAGCTGATATATGCTGGTGTGTGCACCACAATATTTCAATTGGATAATGATGAACTGCAGCTTATTTTGTATTATGTATATTATTCATTCAGGCTAAATAGGAGGAAATATTTTGATGTGGATAAGTTTGTTTAAAAAAAATCAATTTTCTGTCGACATGTAACGTTCAAGTACTGAGCTCATTATAAATCTAGTAAATTGGAAATCGTACCGCTGTGGCATTTAAAAAAAAACGCAGTGCCAAGCTGACCATAGTAACGATCAACTGACAACTGCAATAAGGTACCGTAAGTTTTTCTTTTTGACTGTCAATAAAAAAATAATGCACACATTGAATTATTGGGGAAAGTTTTTGTGAATGAAGGAAGTTGTCAATTTTCATTCTGGGATTTATGTACCAATTCGGCTTCCAATTTCTTCTACAATAATTAATATTATTATAAAAAGATATTACAAAGGACTTGCATTACAGAAGCGACTTAATTGCTATTAGCTGCATTAGAAAAATATTCTTACTAAACACTAACCATGCAATTTGGCCACCAAATAGGGGTTTTCCAATATTATTGTAGGATTCACACATTGAGTGACTTAATTGTCAATGATCATTTTCGGCTGAATCGACTTTACTTTATATTGACACCGACTTATAATTAACCGACTTTTGTACAGTAAAATTGTTACTTACGGTTGAATTATAACCATCAACCACTAGTTATAAACACAAACACGTGTTCCCCTAATTGGCTTTTCCAAAATTATTTTACGAATTCGTACAATCGTACATTCATATTTGTCATTGATTATTTTGGGCTTCATGAAAAATCTGCCAAATAAATGTGTAATAGGGCAAAAATTGCAGCTGGTAAACATTCACAATATCATTTATATAAACATGCTAACATATAAAAATTACACGATAGTATTATTAAATTGCATAATAGCACTGATAATTAATTGATTTCTCGAATTTTATAGGCCCCTACACGAATTCTTTGAAATCGAATATTATATGATATACACAGTTAATTGCTAGCACCCCGAATTAGCTTAGCACATATTAATCATGCGAACTATATATACCGAGCTCCCAAATTAGAATTGAGCAGTTAATTGCTATTTCTACAGCATTTTATACACCCTCACACACCTGCTGCTGAAGAGAAAAAAGTCCGTCTGCCGTGCCTTGTACTACAGTTTGCTGAGGAAACTGCATTAGGCTGCATGCTTGTGCCGCCGCGAATAACTGCCCCAAGTCTCCACCTGGCACCGCTTGGATCAGTTGGGATTGCCCTCCTGGTCCTATGAACTTAATCGGGGTGGAGCCTGCCGTACACGTCGTAGGCGCAGCCGTTGCTGCCTCCTCCGGGGTGCCAATTTTGGAGCAAGTTGCGGCCAGCAAAGCCAAGGGGGACGGCTGGGTGGACTCCTAGGCGGGGTCAGAAAGAAGAGGACGTGATGAACAGCTCGCGATTGCACGCACTTTACGATGTTATCCCGATCGTTTAAACTAGACTACACGTACCTGTGTGGTGCTGGCTGGTACTACGTAATCCTGTTGCTGCTTTTTCGAACTAGAACTTGACATCTTGCACAAATTATGCCACCATTTGTTAGTAAAGTGGAAATCTACGCCACATCGTTGAGCACGGGGTACGCCGAGTCACGCCCTAATGGGACGAAACTATTGCGCGGAAGGATAAAGTTCGCCACACCCTTACACAAAGAAAAATTTTAACTCAACAAACGCAGAGTTCGATGACGTCCCTGTCGACATTTTAACCGTGGAGAATATCTTAAAAATGTGTCCCAAATCTCGCTGACTGCAGAATCTCGATATTTACGAAGCATGACGTCAATTGCGGCGTAGTGACACAGCAAAGTAGGCGGGGTGTAAATCGGTTCATCGGCGCTTTATGAGCTGCTTGTGATTGGCACAATACCAGCGACAACAGTCGCCGTCAAATACCAGGTGGCCGTGGAATTGGAGCAAATACGCCCTGCCCCGTGGCACGCACAATGGCACGTTTTGAACGGACAACGAAAATGTTAATAACACACACACACGCACATACACACGCGCGCGCGCACGCACGCACACACACGCACGTCACGCTCAGAAAGAGAGAGAGAGAGAGAGAGAGAGAGAGAGAGAGAGAGAGAGAGAGAGAGAGAGAGAGAGAGCGCGAGAAAGAGAGAGCGCGCGAGAGAGAAAGCTGCGGGCAGCCCTGCACGCGGTAGGCACGCCCGCGCTATAGTGGGGTCTGGGTGTATATGCTCCCCCAGAAAATGTTGAAATATTTAAGCCATTTTCCTGAGGGCATATTCTGATGTCTGATGACACTATCTCAACCCTAGACTCAACCCTACAATTTAGGATTTAAAACACTTCATGACTTTCCAGAGAGCGTACAGACCTGAGGTTAGGTTACTATAGCAATAATGCATGCCGTTACACAGGTAAGAATTGCAACAGAAGATATAACTTGATAAGTCCTTTAACATGTGTAATGGCACTAAAACGGGACTTGCAAACGGGGGGGGGGGGCGGTACGCCGGCTGAAGATCAAGGTAAGCGTCTGTGTTGCCTCGTGTTCCTCGTACATGTAAGACGTTGTGTTAATGTTTATGTGAGGCTTGGGCAGCGGGAATGAACATTGAAGCATAGTAATGCTCAGCCTACATCTCTCTTGTTCGTAAGCATTTCTTGGTGTTACAGACATGCGGACAGATGTTTCTAACATTTGTTTGGACGAGATGAGGTCTTGCCGTACGTCACCTTGTTAAAAAGTCTGGTTCAATCATCATCACATTTTGATAGAATACTGATTGACTAGTGAAGTTTTTAATTCTTTATTAAAAACATCACATTTGATAAACATAAGAAATCATATTTTGCATGTTTAGTGTGAGCAGTAATACGGATGCAAATCGCTGTATTTGTACAGTGCACTCTACGCCTGAACTTTATATATTACATGTTTAAATCATCTAATAAAGAATTAAACAAACTTTTTGCTGTCCTTATTTACCATTTACTGTAGTGTGAAATATTGATGTTATAGATTAGTATTTTTGGCAAGTTGCAAAGCACAAGGGGTTGGCGATGCACATAAAATAATGGCTTCTAGAAGGTAGTAGAACTTTATATGTGGTTATTTCTAACGATGAACATTTCCAAATATGTTTCTCACTTTCAGGAACATTTTTCTTTAAGTAACTTTTTGGCAGCTTTTGAAGAGTTGGTTGAATGATCTGCCATAATAATGGGTGTATGCATTCTTGCGTGTGTTAGTGCGTGTAGGGTTCGTGGCGTGTATATCCACCTTATAGGAACGCATAATTGCGTGCGTGCGTGCGTTTGTGTGCGTGCGTGCGTACGGCCTGTGTGGTTGTGTGCGCGCACGCGTAAAATGTAATTTTAGCACCTATTCGCGTGGCGACGTATATATATATATATATATATATATATATATATCCAGTGCCGTAGCCTGTGGTGGGGGGCAAGGGGGGCAGCTGCCCCATAGATTTTGGAGCAAAATTAAAAAATAAGCTTAGCTAATAATCGTAAATAACCCGAAGGTGATTTTTTTTGGTCACTGACTTATCCGTGAAAGTCTTGTCTCAGACCCACCGTGACCCCTGATCAGTTCAAATTGTGTATACGATCATTCTTAGCATGCACATATGATGTAATTTCAATCCACCTACTTGTAGTACTTACTTTAAAGCTACATGGCTTTGGGGTCATCCCTATAGACCGAAGCTTGACAATAGCCAGTGGAGATAATACAGGAGTCGGAATAATAGTTTACGAAATTGTCGCACTCTATATGTCCGCGACTAATGTGCGAGATGTATAAGCAGTGGCGTAGCCAGCATTTTTTAACAGGGGGGGGGGAAAAACAGCGAACTGCGGCAAATATGGACTGACTTATTTTGTTGTTCCTAATATTTTAATGCTCCTCAGCCTCCCTTTCCACACCCCTATATCTCCCCGCCTCTCAGCTCTGCAATCTTTGTTTTGGGCGGCCATGTAAAAAGGCGACATTTGTGTTCATTGTTCTCTGCTCCTTAGATATTGTAACTGTTCAGTGCGATCTAGGATTACGAGGGGGGGGTGAAACACAGGCGGGGGGGGGGTTTATGCGGGTCCTCCCCCCGAAAATTTTGAAAATGTAGATCGCAGGAGATGGTATTTGAGGCACTTTTGAGTACAGGTACAGCCTTCATTCTGACTACCGACAATTCTCTTTTAGTAGAAACAATTCTTATTTTTTTTTAAATTTTCGCGATTAA